GAGCCTTTTATACCAACAGCTGGTGTCCCACAAGGTTCTTGTCTCAGTCCACTTCTGTTCAACATTTATGTGAATGACCTTCCTCAACCAGAGTTTAATGATACAATTGTGACACAGTTTGGAGATGATGTTATTCATGTCGTCTCATCAACTCCGGTAACAGGAAAATACAAGTATGAGAGTCATAGAAAAAATGAATATTGAACTTCGTCGAACATCTAATTGGGAAAAGAAATGGAGAATTACGACTAATCCTGACAAGGTCCTTGTTAGCACGATAGGATGTTTTGCATCAACAATTGAAGGTAAAGGGGGTATCTCCATCAGAGGTACACCTGTAGCCATTAGAAACCCTAACAAGATTTTGGGATATGAAATAGACAGGCTGCTCCACTCAACATCTCATGTAACTAAAAAGATCAACATAGCCAAAGCCGGTCTTAGCCGTCTCTTTCGATTCAATCAAGCCCTTCAACATGTCAAAAAACTTCTGTATAAAATGTTAATAAGACCTATACTCGAATACCCTTGTGTCCCAATGTCATTAACAACAAAGACCAATATGCTACGGTTACAAAGGGTCCAGAATAGAGCTCTTCGCTTCATTACCGATACCAGGAGGAGAGACAGAGTTAAAATGGCAGATTTACACATACAACAAGATATTACTGCCATAAATGTACGCCTTGACACCCTAAAAAAGAAACAACTCTATACAATGCAAGAACTATGCATGCCAGATAGAGAACATCCTATACAAGTGGTAAATACCACGGATTATATCATCAATACTCCTCCTCACAGGACTCAAAGAATGACTCTCCCACAGAGGGTCCGTCGTTTTATACATAAAGCTGATTACCATCGACCCATGATATTGAGCAACCTCCCTGATGAAGAAGATTGGGTAACACCAGAACCCTTCTATGTATACTGAGAACATCATCGCCCCCAATTAGGGAGACATCTTATATAACAATCTAATGTAAAAATTATGCTATTTACTATGGCTGGACACCACCTGTAAGAAACCATTGTCACGTAATTCTATAAACTGGCCAGAAAATTATTGCCTTCATTGTCGCATACATATCCGTTGTGCAATCGCAAAAAAAAAAAAAAAAAGCAATTGTCAACTTGTATAATTACTACCAATTCAGAGTCATGTACTTATATATCTGTTATATCTATGTGACTCTGATGGGTTAGTCTTATACCCCTTAAAGAATATCTTATCATTTCACGTACACTTTTTAAATTACACCAAAGTGGTTGGGCCACTTACCTTTTATATCCTACCTCTCTCCCCCCTCCCACCCTTTTCCAAAATTTCTATCCTTACCCATCCTTCTTCCTTACCCATCTCACCAAATCTCTGGTCTGGAAAAGAAACAAGAAACTTTATACTCTAATAAATCTTACTAAGACAAGTTTTTTTTATTTATTTTGGTGTATCTTAGTTCCAGTTTGCCTTATTTTATTGAAGAACATAAGCTGCGAGAATTGATATTCCGATTTTCATGTGATAATTTCTGAGCGTTTCATCCAGTTACCTTCACTTTTGAACGCTGATAACTTGATGGTGCAAATTCTAAACGGCTTCAAACTTAAGGTAATGGTGCATTTTAAGATACTGGACATTCTGAGGTAAAAGAAATTTCAGTTTGCCTTTAATTTTAATGATTTTTAGTGGAAAGTTTGAATTAGTTTTGCACTTTGTATGCAGTAATTTACCATTTTTATTGAACATTGAGATATTAGTGTCCATGTGATAACTTGCCGGAATATATATTTATTTTCTTTTTTCGTCCTCCAACATTTTTTTTTTTTTTTTGTAATTCGTCCATTACCTGAGAATGCATTATGCGATCGTCTTTCAATTTTCAATTCTGATGTAAGATAACCAGGCCAAGATTCCAGGAAAAACTTGCGTATGCAGGAGTTCTATGAACATATTATTGACTTGAATAACTTCCAAAACCCTCTGCAGGGAAGCTTAAACGCTGGAAAAAGAAATGCCTCTTAATTCAGCGATGGTGAAAAAGTGAAATTCAAATTTGAAGCTGCACATCTGCTATATTAACGAGGAAAATAGTGCAAAATTTTGACTCGTGCTTAATCAAGTTAAATTACCTGAATAACTTTAATACTTAATAATTAACGTATCTTATAGCCAGGATAGTACTCGTTAAGTATAGTATGTAGGTGTGTGTGTTAATTTGTCAATGCACTTAATTTTTTTTTAAGTTGGAGTTGGAATCCATGAGATAACTGGAGAATATCTCTTTCGACAAGCTTCAGATTTTCATCCCTGGTTGATTTTCCAGAGAATAAGATTCACGTTTGTAAGTTTTATTAAATAGTTTACCTGGAGAGGGTTTCGGGGGTCAACGACCCCGCGTCTCGGTCTGAGACTAGGCCTCATGTTGGAACAGGGTCTGATCAACCAGGCTGTTACTGCTGGCCGCACGCAAACTGACGTACGATCACAACCCATAGTGACAATGATTTTCACTCAACAAGTAAAGAAACAATATCTCGTCATATCAACATCAAAACATTGCACTGCATTGCATAAGACAGAAAACATCCTCAACGTTTAGATTGTTTAAGTTCAAGTTTAAAAAGTTATTGAAATTAAAAAAAAAATACCTGGAATCAACGTATTCAAAGCAATTACTAAAACAAAATGATTTTTATGATAGGATTCAAACTTTCAGTGTTAATTCGTTTTATTAAAATTATATTTGGTTGGCACTTTGAGCTACGTATATTTTAAATTAACAGTTATAATAAATACATCAGTCTCCCTTTAATAACTGAAGATTTTTTTGTTTGTTTCTGATAATTTTCAAACGAGCGTTTGTGAGCGTTAGTGCAAGTATTTTTGCAATGAATTTAAGCTTTGTTGTTGCAAATTTGCTAAATATAGATTTTGTTTATCAAACTGGACTTTCTTAAAAACAAAATGACATGTTTTCTCTTCGAGGATTGTAACTAGTTTTAAAAAGAATAGAACTTCACAAAGAAAATGAAGAAATATCGAAAACTTTAATTTTATAGCATTTTTTGCTTCGTGAGTTTATTGAACTTGAGGAGGTGATGACAGAGTAGTCCTATTGTAACCTTCAGTGTTTTGTCCCATTTATTATCTTTCGAAGCATTCATATATTCAGTTCTGGTCATTTATCAAGTGAAGATTGGTGGAAAAGTTGACAAGATAAGGTGACCTTCGTTCAATTTTCTTTAGACTATTCCTGAAATTGGTTTCCATGAAATAATTCTCGACTGTCTTTTGACCAGTTGCAAAATTTCAATATTCGCAGTTTTGCCGCTTTTAATTTACAAATGGTGTAGTACTATTTTTATATTAAAGCATTAATTTGCTCTAATGCTTGTGAGTGACTCTTAATTTATGGAACTGGATTTATTTTCTGCTTCACTGGATTAAACGACGGGATATTACTCGTACTGCTTTAACGCTTTCCCTGATGAAGATAAAATTCTACGGATGATTCTTCTAATGAATTGGGCAAAAAAAAAAAATGGGTTTGGGCTGTGTAAGTGGAACTCTTGTTCAGTTCTTTCACTGACTGAAGAATGCCTCTTCTCGTGAGGTTTTAAAGTTATGGTGATGATTGATGTGTTTTCCTCAGACGAACCTTTGTTCTGATTTGTCGTTGTGTAAGGTTTAATGTGCCTATTTTATTAATCAAATTGTTTTCAGTGAAGTAACCGGAAAATGTCTCTCCCGGTCAGAAGTATTTTATTGTGTTTTACGTTACTGTGATATCCTAAGTTAAATCTACCTAATGTACCCTTATATAAGATAACATCTGTGTACCCTTATGTAAGATAACATCTGTGTACCCTTATGTAAGATAACATTTGTGTACCCTTATGTAAGATAACATCTGTGTACCCTTATGTAAGATAACATCTGTGTACCCTTATGTAAGATAACATTTGTGTACCCTTATGTAAGATAACATCTGTGTACCCTTATATAAGATAACATCTGTGTACCCTTATGTAAGATAACATCTGTGTACCCTTATGTAAGATAACATCTGTGTACCCTTATGTAAGATAACATCTGTGTACCCTTATGTAAGATAACATCTGTGTAACCTCAAAACCATTGAGAGAAATTTTTTAGTATATTCTCTAAACTTATATAAAATTTAATTATATTACTAATGTACTTAAACCATTAACATTCTTCAACCTTACTTACAGAAAAGTTTAGAATAATTTTGGCCTGTATACGTTCCAATTTACCATTTTTTCATGGCAGAAACTGGAAAAAAATGGTTTTCAATGAGTTATTTCATCTTACCAGATAACATGATAATCCCAATTCTGAGCGGCTTCAGCTTAACATACTGGCGTATTGTAGGATATTGGTCTGTCTGACATAAGACAATGCCCATTCAGTTTGGCTTCAGAGCTGGTCTTTCTTAGTTGAAGGCTTGAATTAGGTTTTGGCCTATGTATATCCTATTTTATCCATTTTTATTGCTGAAATTGGGTATTAATATCCACGAGAAAATTTGCTAATGACTCTTCTGGTTCAAATCTTGAACGCTATATCTAAATATTAGCGTTAGCAGTTTATGCTGTAATGTACACTATTTTTGCGTGCATTGACGTAAAGGGTGCTGCTAGGGTCATGTAATACAAGCGCGGCGATTCCTATATAAATCAGTTTTTTTTTTTTCAGAGATGTTAAAAATTTCACGTCAGTATTTGAATGTGGTAGAGTAATTTTAACACGAAGCCTACTGCATATCTGGTTGAAGAGTTCTCTAACTCCATTAATCATTATGACTGAAAGAAGTACACTTACCTCATTATTCTTATAATTCTAACAAGCATTAACTCTATGATCAACTCCGTAAGAGTGTAAATATCGCATTAAACTCCCAGTCAGCAAAAGGAGGAACGAGCCTCCGCCAGCCCTTGCGTTGAATACCCACCCAGTTCAGCCTCTTCAACAGTTTTGGACAGTGGGCGTGGAGGAGCAGAAATATGGGCGGTGGGTGGAGTGGACCGGGAGGAACACCGGGTGCTGCGGGCGGAGGTACGGGTGGTAGACGCGGGTGGGCTGGTCACCCATGAATCTATCACTGTGGTCGTCGATGACCTCAACGACAACCCCATGAAGCCAGCAGCCAAGACTGTCTACCTCTGGAAGTCTCAGGTAAGTGCTACAACTCACATGATTTTGGAAGTCACTAGGTGCTAGCACAGCTTGGTGCTACAAGGCGTCAGAAGATAGTAGGAAGTATATAGTACTTGATATAATGTATCACAAGATAACAGAAGTAAGATGACATGAGGCAGGGCGAACCTTTATGAGAGTGTGCCCAAATTGGCGATAATTTGGGGTGAAATTCTCCCACGTGCAATTAGGAATTTTGAGCAACAGATTTTATTAATTTTATTATTATTATTATTATTATTATTATTATTATTATTATTATTATTATTATTATTATTATTATTATTGTTGTTGTTGTTGTTGTTGTTGTTTTGGCATTTTACAAAATTTTAATAGAGAAAAATAAAGAAATAATTGAAAGCATTCTTAAGGCTTGTAACTTTACTGATCTGTTTTACACAGAACAGCTTTAGAAATTCAGTATTATGTTATAAATAATAATTCACCAGAGACAAATTAATGAATTAGTGACAATTATGAGTGACCAATAATTCAAAAAAAAAAAACGAGGAATCCAATTTCTTAGAAATATTCATCGATTTACTATTAACAAAAGTGTAGCAGAAATACTGAAATATAAATTAAAAGTCAGTTTCAAAATAGCATTATTCATAAATACAACTGTTCCTTATAAGCAACGGTAAACATCTGCATGATAAATTTTGATTCATATAATAAAAAATTAAAAATCAAGAAATGTAAAATAAGCATAATTTATTCTGAGTTAGACTTTTGTTGCTACACCAACAAAAGCATATTTTATGTCCGGCTTGTGTTTAGTTGTTCTGAGAGTGGTTCCTTTAACACTGGTTTACATCAGTAAGTCTGCAGCTACAATTACCGTCTTTTGCGGCTTATTAGACGCATTTTTCCATAAAAGGTCTCCAAAAACCATCCTGCGTCCTATAAACAGAAGGTCAGTGACGGGAGCTATAAGTGGTCCTTGAAACCAGGGCAATTCTATGAACTGGAACTGGAAAGGTTCTACAAACTGGATTGGTTCTATGAATCAGAAATGGTACTAAGAACAAACATAGTTCCAAGTTATGTTCATGTTTGTACAAGACGCTGGTTCTCGGTGAACCAATAATTATGGTCATCTCTAACCAGCATGGTTCTTTGAACACGGGTGGCTCAGTAAACAATAGTTGTGCCACAAGATGGGCCAGTGAAGGCCTAACAGTTGACGTGAGGGTTGCTTAACCAGCTGGGGCAGCGCCGGTGTCTGATCAGCCACCTCCAGACAGTTCTACAGGGGTTGGTAACACTTCAGGGGATCTCTGGGTCACAGGTGGGCCACAGTTCCTACTCACACCTTGCAAGTGGGTTTGTGTAAACAGACCCTCCTGGCCACATGGGTCCACTGTATAACCACCGTCCCACATTAATACTAATAATGATAATGATCTTTATTTCTACAAGTACATGATACTACTTATACAGACCTAGCTGACATCAATGAAATACTATATAGAAAACCCCCTGGTTTTATATATAGGCTAATTTTGTCCCTAGGATGCAACCCACACCAGTCGGCTAACACTCAGGTCCCTAGTTGTTGCTAGGTGAAGAGGGACAGCAGGGACAAAGGAAACGCATCCTGGTATTTCCACCCGTACCGGGGATCCAACCATGGATCTCAGTGTGTGAGTTGAGTGCACTACCATCCGAGCTACGGTACACCTGACAGATGCCAACAGAATGGGTCCACTCGTTACCCAAGTAAAAGTCTGTTAGTTAATTAGTGTCATTAATGGGCTAAATGATTTATGATTTTACTCCCAGGGAGTGTCAGTTCTTATAATGTCTGTCGATTGATTGTGGCAACCTAGTGTTCACTTATCTCGCCTTGATAAGGAGACCGCAGGTCTGTCATAAGCTGAGAGTCAGGCCAGCGCTTCCTTCACTTTGTTCGTGACTGACAGAAAGTAGAGCCTGCTGATATTAAACTCATGGGGCAGGTGTGTGACTAAATAGTCAGTTGTGTGTCAGCAGAGATACTTGCAGCCCAACTTAGCTCATACACATCTGAAGTCTGTCCATGATAAGCGATGCACTGAACAAGTGTGTGTGTGTGTGTGTGTGTATGTGTGATATAGATAGAATTTGTTGGTCAGTTTGAGCACTTGAATACAGTTCGATCTGACTCACACACGCATACACCTGTCAGTATTATGCAACTAATTTGAGTCACTCGAGTATCAGTCAGAGCCTGTTGTCAATTAAGATGCTGGTTAGTTCATTGATTGCATTGATTGATGGTATAATCAGAGCGAGGTGGCAAGTATCACAAATAGTTACAGTTCTGAGTAAGAGCACAGAACTATTACCTCACTTTAACTGGTGTGTAAAGACGAAGGTACACACAAGCGTAGTGAGCCAAGCTGGTGTGATGATCCTCCAGTAACGTAAGACAGATGTAACTGGTGAGTCAAGATGTTAGTGTCACACAATGTTAGCGAGTCACACTGGTATGATTATGATGTATAACACAACAGGTCCTATCACCTTCCTATGACTTGTGATTAAAAACGTCATCACACGGTGTTAATGAATCTTGCTGGTGGCATGACCCTCCAGTCTGATAAGACAGCAGGTGCTATCACCTTGCTGTGTCTAGTGATTAAAGACGTCATCATAATATTAGTGAGTCTCGCTAGTGTGATGACCCTCCAGTACCATAAGACAGTAGGTACGGTTACCTTGCTGTAACTGGTGAGTAAAGACGTCAGTGCCATAGGAGTAAGAGAATCTCGAAGGCGTGATGACCCTCCAGTCAGGTAAGACAGCAGGTGCTGTTAGCTCGCTGTGATTGGTAATTAAAGGAGTAATCAAACCGTGTTGGTGAGTCTCTCTGAACTGATGATCGTCTATTGAAGTAAGACAGCAGGTGATTGTAATCTATGAAATCAGTTCCATATGGCTGTGTCTTTAGTAATCACATTGATAAATCAATCAGTGCATACGGCTTTAAGATAAACAATTGGTTAATTAATGTTTCATTCGCCGAGGCTTGAGTGATCAACCTAATCAACTTGATTACTCACAAGTTAATAGGAGGCTTGAGTGCCATTACGAATGAGTTGTTAGTCACACCTAGTATATAATCACTTGTGTTGTGTTAAACTACTTTCTGGAGACACGATGCATTTTGTGAGATGTTACTGACAATTGTAAAAGTTAATTATCGTGTACACAGTACAAGAGGCCCTGGGTGGAGTACCTGCCCAGTGATGATCGGATTGTTCGATCACCCACTCAACCCCCCCCCCCTCCCCCGAATGTGGTAGAAATTATACCACCGGTCTAGCTAACCAGTGCAAGTCAAAAAAGAACCCATAATTATCAACAGGAGCCCTAAGGACGGTAGGATGGTAGTAATGGTGCTGAGAATACAGGATGGGGATCTTAAATGGGAGTCACTGGGATGCAATCGATCTTAGGAATCATGGGGGATGAGTATACACGAAGGGAGTCACGAGGATGGAGGTCCAGGATGGAAATCATGGGTATATACTAAGCAAGCAATGAGGATGGACATATTAGGATGAGAGTCATTGGAAGTGATTCCAAGCAATTACATAACTGGAATGGGGATCGAGAGTGTGGTCATGGGAATGCTAATCCAGGAATAAATCATTTTGATAGAGATCAAGGATGAGTCATCAGGATAGGAAACTAAGGTGTGAGTTATTGGGATGGTGACCAAAAATGGGAGTCATGGGAATGGTGACCAAGCATGGGATTCATGGAGATTGGATTCAAAAATGGGTTCATGGGAAGGAAACCCAAGAGTTTTAGGGTTGGGATTTAATGATGGAGTCATAGTGACCCAGGATAAAAGTCATGGGGATGGGGACACAGGATGGTAATTATGGTTATGGGACCCAAGATGGCAGTCATGATAATGGGGATCATTTATGAATGTCATAAAGATTGGAATCCAGGATGCATATCATCGGGATGGAGAACAAGGATGGGAGTCACAAGGATGGAAACCCAGGATGGTAATCACGAGGATGGGGACAGCTATGGGGGACCCATGATGGGGGTTATGAAAATGAGAACCTTGGAATGAAGTCATGGGGATGGTGATCAAACAAGGATCACCATCCCCATGTTTTCTCATCCTCATGGGAGTCATGAGGATGAGGACACAATATTGAGCCCCAGAACTGGAGTAATATGCATGGAGATCTAGAATGAGGTTCATGAGAATAGGAACCATGAGGGAGGGAACCTAGTTTTGAGACTCTGATCGCGGGTTCAAACCCCGCCCGTGGTATGGTTTGAAGAACCCTAGGATTAGGACATAGGATTAGGACGCAGAATGCGAGTCATAAAGATGGGGACCCAGAATTGAAGTTGAGATGGGGACACAGGGTGGGGACTCCAGATGGAAGTCATGAGATTGGGGATCGACGATATGGACCATAGCTAGGGGCCCATGATGACAATCATGCGAATCATGACCCAGGATAGGAGTCATGAGAATCGAGACCCAGGATAGGAGTCATGAGAATCGGGACCTAGGATGGGAGTCATGAGAATCGAGACCCAGGATGGGAGTCATGAGAATCGGGACCTAGGATGGGAGTCATGAGAATCGAGACCCATGATAGGAGTCATGAGAATCGGGACCTAGGATGGGAGTCATGAGAATCGGGACCTAGGATGGGAGTCATGAGAATCGGGTCCTAGGATGGGAGTCATGAAAATCGGGACCCAGGATGGGAGTCATGAGAATCGGGACCTAGGATGGGAGTCATGAGAATCGGGACTCAGGATGGGAGTCATGAGAATCGGGACCTAGGACTGGAGTCATGAGAATCGGGATCCAGGATTGGAATCATGAGAATCGGGACCCAGGATGGGAGTCATGAGAATCGGGACCTAGGATGGGAGTCATGAGAATCGGGACCTAGGATGGGAGTCATGAGAATCGGGATCCAGGATGGGAGTCATGAGAATCGGGATCC